CATGGGTTGCAGAGTCAGACACGACTCAGCGACTAAACAACAATAATCAATTTTAGAACATTCTCATTAACTCAAAAAAGAAACTACATATTCAGTAGCTGCAACTACCCATTTCCCCTCAAACACATCCCCCGTCCTAGGCAACAACTAATCTACTTTCTGTCTCTATAGCTTGGCCAATTTTAGACAATCCACCTAAGAGGGGTCACACAGTATATGGTCTTCTGTGACTGGCTTCTTTCACTTGGCCTCATGTTTTCAAAGTTCATCCATATTGTAGCATGTATCATTCCTTTTTTGGATGAATGCATTCCATTTATGGATATACCAAATGTAGCTTATTCATTCATCAGCTGATGGACATTTGGGTGTCCTGGATGTTTGAACAAAATTGGTATGCTTTGCACTGGGTACAAAGTTTTACATGTTATCTATTGTGCCAAACATATTCATTATATTATTAAATGTATCTATATCTTAGTTTTTGTTTACCATACATATGCTTCTGAAACAAATGTGTTACTGTATTCCATTATGTCAATTTCTCAATATTTTTATTTTCTTTTTTTGCCTCGTATGCATTTTGCCAAGTTGTAAGGAATATAAAAGTTTGTGACTCATATTCTTAGTCCAATACAACTATGATCCAGATAAACCATTCTTCTTTGTCCTGCTTAATGTAATTCTTGAACTCATTTTCCCCAATAGTAATATTGTTATACGCTGCTTTTCAACTAGCAGTTGCTTGCAATAACTTTTTCACTCTCTGTCATTTGACCTTAAATGTATCATAAATAGCAACTAGGTAAAGTTTTACAGCCAGTTTTAGTTAACAGAAAAATAAAACATTCATGCTTGTGATTGCTGGTAATTATGTACGTTTAACATCTTTATTATCATTTAATGTTTTAAATTTACTGTATGATTTCTTGCTGTTCTTTTCTACATTTTCTTACCTTTTGTTGGATCAAAAAAAGTATGAAATTTTCATTCTTCTAAAAGTCACCCATAAAATATTTCACCCTCATTACATACCAATATGATTTAGACATAACCATAATCTTTACTGGTTTCTTTATAAACCTATGTTCTTTTATTCCATATCTTTCTCCTGAGTTTTAATTTTTCTGGAGTGTGTCATCAATACTGTCCATGGGAGTAAACTTTCCGAGTTTTTAAACATTTTGAAAAATGCCTTTGTCTTCTTCTTTCATGTTATTTTGCCAAAATATAGGATTTAAGGCCCATAATATCAGAATTTTAAAGATGTTTTACAATCTTTAATAATCCAGTGAAGCTAGTGTTTCAGCATTTCCTCCATCAACCGATTCGTTTTTATTTCCTTTAGGAGGAAAGAAATGTCTAATCTGTTGATGACATACCTGTATTGTTCAGCGCTGAATTTATTCTTCCCCAAAACATCTATTTTCTGACATTATTAGGGATCTTTTGATAGTAAAGATAACAAGCTAGCCATTTTGAGCAAATTACTATTCCCTTCTCTTTAATGATAGCATAACCCTTGATTATTACTATTAATTTCAATGATCTATCATTCAAGTTCCCACTCCAGGTTAAGTAGGTTTCTGGAGATGTGATTTTACTTTTGACCTATGCAAATACTCATAATAGTGAGTTCTGCTCTAACACAATTCTACTATCTTCAATGACAAAAAAAGAATTAAATGTCTTAACTGATAATGTTTTCAAGCACTTCCTTTGTATCACACATTGCTAATATAACAATCAAGTGTTCACGATAATAAGCTGAGGTAAAGTGACTTTTTCTGACCTAGACACTAGGTCTAGGTCCTCCTACATAAGGAGTCCCACATCTCTAAAGAACCGGCCTGGATCAGGATCCTTCTTGAGCCAAGAGGAACAGCTAGTAGGAGAGTTGACCTCAACGATGCTGAATTCAGAGCACAGCAGTGGAGACAGATGGTCAGTTACGCTCACTGAAGCAGAAAACCTGAGCGCCACATCATCACGAGGCTGCTGCAACCAGCAACTTCTGGATGGACAAGGACCCGAGGTCCTCACCTGTTAGCATCTCTTCCTGACTGGCTGATGAGAAGCAGCTGCATAAAATCCACCATTGTCTTCATGGTCAGCAGACTACTGGGGACACTGTCCACTACATCACAGTGTCCCCTTTATGAGAGCCCAAGAAAAACACCACCTGTGGCTCAGAGCCAGGCAAAATCATTCCTCCTGCGCAACTGGTATGTTTTCATCCTGTAGATGTATGGATTTTCTAGCTGATTTTCTCTTTGTCTTAACCATTAGGAAGTTAAAAGCCAGATCTGAGGTTTCTCTCTAGCTTTGGGGGCTTTTATTTCTCAACTATTCTAACATTAAAAAAAAAAAATCTTCCCTGATTCCTTTAGTCAATACTACTGTTTTCTGCAAGTGATCTAAACTCCCTTTGGAAATAAGGCAGGAAATAATCACCTTAAACTAGGTTGATATTGTTTAGAGATATTAATAAAAATAATAGATTTTAAGTGCTTTAATTTGTTCCTTTTATAACTTTACATATAGGTCAAATCCTTTCACTCTAAACCAGTGCTGTCCAATAGAAACAGTATGTGAGCCATATGTAGTATTACATTTTCTAGTAGCCACATTCTAAAAAGAAACAGGTGAAATTGAGACAATTTAAGTCTTCCAAATGTGTACTTTAGAGTCAGAGCACATCACAATTTGCAGTAGCTACACTGCAAGGGTTCAATAGCCACACGTGGTTAGTGGTTCCTGTATTGGACAGGCCAGGTCTAAATATAAAGTCAGAATGATGACTGGAATCAGAAGAGTTTTCCAGACTATCATCCCCATTGTATCTGACCTGTATTCATAGTTGCCTTTGATTTCTGAGCTCCTGGGGATCTCTGATGTAAACAGTAGGTCCAAGAAAGTATGCACTCTCCTGACACAGGTAATGATCATGAAAACCCCAAGATTTCTGGATCTTTTTTAACTTCTCTCTGTTTGTTATTTTTTTCCTTGACTGGACCACTCTTGGCTCCTTCTAAGAAAAAATGTAATATAAAATAGTTTGAGATGTCTAGTAACAAAGAAAAAAACAGAAATGGTTATGCATTTGTTTATTTTGAAATTTCATCCAAATAAGTATTAAAAATTACTTTAAAGCACACTGATAAAGGTTCAAAACTAGAAAGCCTCTGTAGGAATAATCAACAAATGAACAACAAATGTTTGCTTCTCCTTGTTTTTGAACCAGTTCTAACACTTTACACTTTAGTTTGGATAATAAAAGTGTCATTCATTCAAATCAGAACCAAAAACCCCAAAATGTAGTTCAGATTTCTGAGAGTTGCAAATTTGATTCTTCAGGCAAATAGAAAGCCTCCATTTCTACGTGAGTATAAACAAAGGAATAACTATATTATAGAATGGCTATGAAGATTAATATACTGTGTATATAGCTTACAACAGGCAAATAGTATGTACTCAATAAATTATCCATTTACTATTATTTCTTATAATAATAAATTATTTATAACAGTAAATGATCCATTTACTATTATCATAGTTAATCACAAAAGATTTTTAAATCCAGGTTCCTAAACTGGGGTCTGCAGATTGTTGATCCGCAGCTAAAACTGTGTGTGGGTGGAGAGGAGAGTGGATTCCTAAAACCGGATGGAAAATAAGACTCCACCTACATTTTCACTAATCTCTAAACAAAAGTTAGCTTTTGCTTCACTATGAATGCTGGCAACATCAAAGTAGTATCTGAAGGATCTATAACTTTGCACCAGTATAAGTAACTTATATTTTCATATTACACTTCTGATGCTTACAGACATCTCAAAATATTTGTCACCTTTTTGAAATCCCAACCTTTGTGAGACCTGCTGCTAGATCTTCTCAATTAAGGAATTAGTAAAGGAGCAATACTATGTTATCAATGTATTGGTTTTAATTTCAATATATTAAGTTTCCTTTGTAATCCAACATTTTTTATTTCACGCACTTAAAAGGATTCTTCTGAGGGTGGGTCCATAGGCTTCACAAGACTGCCATGGCACAAAACAAAGTTAAGAATCCCTACCTTTCAGTCTATCTCTTTGCTTACAGAAGGCCAACCAAGTTTCACAATTGAGCACCTGACTGGGTGAGCCCATTCCCATAGTCTCAGGTTTGTTTTTCTGTTTATAGCTTGACAGAAGATATTACAGTTCTGGTGTCTGACTCTGTCAATCAACCTTCCTGTTCAAGGTTCTGTGTTAAGCTGACAGGTTGATTTTCTGGTGCATTCGGTCGAACTGGGGAATATACGTGACTGCCACTGGATGCCAGGCCCTTGGTGAAGCTGGGCAGTGGTTTTGAAGCGAGGTTCCAGATCAGTAGAATTAGCGTCTCCTGTCAGGTTGTTAGAGACGCAAAAACTGAAGCTCCGGGGTCTATGAATCCGTATTTTAAGTCCTCGGGGAGATGAACGCTAGAGGCTGAGAACCCCCGTGGTAGACACGTGGAGGGCAGCACAATCCTGGGTGGGAGGCCCCCCACCTCGACCCAGCCGGACGAGGCGGGAGGTGGGGAAGGGAGGTGATGAGGGGCGGCCATCGAGTCGAAGGCCGGGACTTGGGGCCTTGTTTTGCTCCTGTGCCCCGATTTTACTTACATTACCCAAGGCCTCGAGGGTGACTGAAGCCAGATTATCCGCCTCCCCTCCCCCGGCCCCGCCAGCACTGACCCCTCCGCGCTGCCACCCTACTGCGAGAAAAGACGAGTCAAGGAGAGTGCGAGAGAGCGGGGAGGACAGCTCTAGACTACAAGGGTTCTAGCCAGACAGAGCAGCAGCCGCTAAACCCTTCCCTGCCCAAGCCACCCGGCGCTGGGGCGCGCACACCTTGCTGGGAATTGAGGTCCCGGAAGCCCACCCGTTCCAGGCTTTCAGGACTGTCTTGCCTCGAGAAAACTACAAGTCGCAGAGTGCTCGGCGCGGACGGGGTCACGTGGGAGGGGCGGCGGGCGCGGCTAAATAGTCTCCGTCGGCCATTTTGTGGGAGAAGCCGCAGCGCCGCCTCTTCTTTAGCGTCTTCGTATCCGTTGCCGCCGCCTCTTCCTCCGCCTCCTCCTTCGCCTCTTCCTGCCTCCTCCCGGCTTCCGCCGCCGCCGCCGCCGCTCAAGCCGCATCCCAGCCCCGGGGCCAAGCGTCTCTGTATTTATTTCCGTTTTTTTCGCCACTGCAGCGTCCTGACACGGTGATCCGGGCGGGCCCCGCAGGAATTTTACCCCCACACCGGCCTCACACTAGTATCGCATGTCCACTATCCAGAACCTCCAATCTTTCGGTAAGAGCGGGTTGCCCCGCCACCTCCTCCCGCCCGCCGCGTCCTCCGCGCGCCTCTCGGCTGTCCAGCCGCCTCTGCCCGCCCCCGGCGGGGCCGCTAGTCCGCTCCCTGCCTCGCAGGGCCCCCCTGTCGCCCTCCCCGCAGCCCGAGTGGGGCTTTGTCTCGGCGCCCGGAAGATGGCGACTGGGCCCCTGGCGACCCCCTCCCTGAGGACGGCCCCCGGAGCCCGGCCGGGGACCCTGCGCCGCCCCCTGCCCGCTCCCGGGCCGGCCTGCGCCTCGCTTCTGCCTCCTGCCACCTCTGCGACCCTGTGCCGCCCCCAGACCTGCCCTGCTGCTGGCCAGGGGGACGCCGGCCCGGGCCGGGATATCGGCGTCCATTAGCGATCGGGGCTGTTTTGTGAGCGGCTCTCAGGGGCATCTAGTAGAAGATGCGGCCGATCAGGCCTCTGATCTGTTATAGGGTAGTGGTCCAGTTTTCTACGTGTAGTACTCCTGATTGAGATATATGCATCTTTTTACCAGGCAGAGTTACTGTTAAACGATTAGAAGGTATCTGTGAATCTTTCAGTTGTCATCAGAATGTAATCGAGATGACGCACATTTTTTATAGTGGCTGTAAAATTAAGGTCTTAAAAATCTCAGGATTATGTTCAACGATAACATTATCCATCTGTAAGCGTTTTCTCTTCCGCTATTGGTGGGCATACCTGTTTAAAATCTCATTTTGTGAGAGTGCCTTAGCGGTTTCATTAATAACCTACGCTTATGACTCCCCCTCTCCCCATCCCCACCTGCAGAAAAAAAGCAGAGGCACTAGAACCTTCTTTGCTGAGTGTCTAGATTGTAGCGAACCATATATATGGAAATTGCTAACTAAAAGATATTTTCCTGCTTTGGATTTTTTTGTATTCCCTTTGCAGACCCCTTTGCTGATGCAACTAAGGGTGACGACTTACTCCCGGCAGGGACTGAGGATTACATTCATATAAGAATCCAGCAACGGAACGGCAGGAAGACACTGACTACTGTTCAGGGCATTGCGGATGATTATGACAAAAAGAAACTTGTGAAAGCTTTCAAAAAGGTAAAGGTGTTAAGAAGGAGAGATTAAAATGTAGTTATTGAAGCACACCTCTATTGAAACACACCTCTAAGTAGGATTATGGTCCACACCTTTACTTGACTGTCAGTGTGGGTGAAAATGATTGGACCCAAGGAAACTATGTTCATACTCTTATTAATTGACATCTAGGTAATCTTAGGGTGAAAATAAAATATCATTGTTATTTGATTCAGTTATGTTGAATCTACTTCTCCAGAAATTTGCCTGTAATGGTACTGTGATTGAACATCCGGAATACGGAGAGGTTATTCAGCTTCAAGGTGACCAAAGAAAAAACATTTGCCAATTTCTCTTGGAGGTGAGTGGTTGGGTGCTTTATGTAGAGACTTGAGATTGCTTCTGACATTGTATTTAATGGTGACATGAATTATAACTTTATCCTCTTTAATAAAAAATTATGTAGATGAAGCACATTAGTTGTACTTATTTTGAAGACAGGAGTACCAGTTTATTTTGTCATTGGAATGACCTGATCATTCCTGGGTCCACTGAGGATGTTTTGTGGCATGTCATGATATTCAAATGTGTGTTGAATTTTTATTAACAGTTTATGCTGCAAATAATAGTGTTGCAATGACCTGTTAACAATGATACTTTTTAATGACTGCTCTGTTTTCTTAGGAATGAATTTATATGTTAGTGATTCTGCTAAATTTTATTTTGCAGGTTGGCATTGTCAAGGAGGAACAGCTTAAGGTTCATGGATTCTAAAATGAACCTAAATACGTGGAGAATTTCTTGAATAATTTTGTTCTCTGACCCAGTTTGGCTGCCTTGTGAAATGATTCTCTGCAGTAAATGGACTTTTCATTTATTTAATCATTCAAACTTCCATTCACATCTGCATGATTACAGAAAACATGGGGTATGTAGGCTAGTAACACATAAGAAAATTGCAGTAAGATGGTAATGAAACCCCGTATTCATCTTAACATGTTTCCAATGGAAAATATTTTGTTTTGAGTGTTTATTTGTTTATTGTTCAGTTTATTACTTTTCACTTGATTAAATGTTTTTTTGTTGTATTAAACCATGTATGTTGCAGCTTAACAATAAAAAAAAATCTATGAGTCCTTTTGTGAGCAGTTAGGCTCCCAGATCTAAGCAAGTAATGTACACCTAGAGTTTGTCTTTCATAATTGGCGTTCTTATTTTGTTTATTCTTTCTGATTAATTTCAGATGCTGTTAAAGCTAGAGGAGAACCTTTGTTATATGTAATTTTTGTTCTTTACTCACTGACTTAAAAATAAGAGTAAAAACAATATAAACTCAGTCAAAACCAAGAATTTATCAGAAAGTGCTGTTAAATTTTTGAGAAGAAAATGAAACATGGTTTAAACTTAAGTATTAGCACATAGAATTCTTTTGGTTCTTTTATTGGTTATGTTACTGGGATGCCAACATAAGTCTGTCTCTAAGTGCCAGACAATAAAGTAGGTTCCTGACATAAATTTAGTCCGAGGTGCTGCCCTGTAAGTGTGGGTGGGTGGTACTACTGTTCTACAGATGGAGAAAGACATTGTTTGGGGTTGGGGTTAACTTCCCAGAGTGCTAGGAAGTGACAGAGTTGGGGTGCCAACCAAGGGCTTCCAACCAGAGAAGTTATGTTCTTTCACTAAATCCTGGTTTGGTATTTGTTTCACCAGAAGAAGTAAGAACCACAGGTAATAGTGCATGGGGACTTGGAGTAGTGTGAGAAATAAGAGTTCTTATTTATGAGATTGCTGCTGCTTATCCTCTTTTTGAATTCCAGACTTATGCTTTTTATTGAGCCATCATTATTTGCTCAGTTATACAAGGCTTCCCTTGTGACTCAGATGGTAAAGAATCTGCCTGCAATGCAGGAGACGCGGGTTCAATCCCTGGGTTGGGAAGATCCTCTGGAGAAGGGAATGGTTACCTACTCCAGTATTCTTGCCTGGAGAATTCCACAGACAGAGAGCCTGGCAGGCTACAGTCCAGAGAGTCACAAAGAGCTCGAAGGACTGAGCAGCTAACACTTTCACCAGCTGTGTCCTTAAAACCGTTCAGCCAAGACAGAGAAACGCATTGACAGTAGTCACCCCTTTATCCAAGGAGTATCTACTCCAAGATCCTTAGTGGATATCTGAAACTGCAGATAGTATCAAACCCTATATACACTTTTTTCTTATACTAAGTGGTAAATAGCATATACTGTGTGGATATACTGGAGAAAGGGATGAATCAGGTCTTGCCCATAATGGAGCAGATTGAGATGATTGCGATTCCATCTCATGGTGCCCAGTATTAAACCTATAAACTGTTTATCCCTAGAATTTTCCATCTAATTTTGTTTTGGACCACAAGTAACAAACCACAAAAGGTGAAATCTCAGATGAGGAGGGAACTGTTGGATGGACGTATGCTTTTAAGCTAAACGTAGTGGGATAATGATATAGAAAATGTCACTACATTCTGTTCCAGCTGAATTCTTGGTCATGATTTGATGATAACAGCTTTTGGAAAATCAGCCCCCCCAGTTTACCTCTGGAGGATACCTGATAGGCTTTGTGACTTTCTCACCCCATCCTACCTCTAAGCGAGAGAGACTGGGAATGCTGAGAAGGGAGTACTCCAGGAAACGGTGCCAGAGTTGGTGAGCTTGTTCCTGAAAACAGTCATTTGACCAAGAAGGTGCAGAGGCATGGGAGAATTTTCTAATTTGAGAAATCTTCACTTTTCTCCCTGTAACATTTTGTAACCATTCCATCTCACATTGAGAGGTGCTGGGGAAACAAAAAACAATACAGTAGACACAACACACTGAAGTGTTGCTTCATCTGGGGAGATCTGTGAGGCAGTGTAGGGAAAAGAACTGTCGAAACTGATGGAACAGGAACATAGGCGGATAAGAGAAAGCTTGTTAAACTGTTTCCCTAGAGAGAAGCTCTTGGCCTGATCCTTCAGCCTGTGAGCCCCAGATACATGCTGGGACTTGTCACCTATAGGGCAGTCCCCATCCTTGGCGCAAGAACAGTATCGTGTACCCTTCTTATCTTTGAGCACTACAATAGAAATAGCTACACATTTCTACAATTTTACTGAAACCAGTCAAAGTCAATGTCGCCTCTAGCGGGGAAGCTGTCTGACAGGAAGCCTTGAGGATACCTAAGAGCAAAGCTCAGTGTTCTTGTCTGCTTCCAGGCTGCAACACTTGTCTGCAAAAGGGACGAGGTGGCATTGTGGAACAAGTGGGAGAAAACGGCCTCCAGACGCAGCTACGCAGCTATGATAACCGAGCCAAGGGGTATCTCCTGTGCCTCTGTGGGGAGGTTGTGGTCTGCAGACTCTCTGGTCTGTACTTCGGCTGCGAAGTGAGAACCGCTGCGGAGAGGACCAGTAGATCTGTCCCTGAGTCTCTACACTCGGGAGAGGTTTTGGTGAAGCCAGTGGGAAACTGACCTTTGGTTGGTTGAGGCACAGCCTGAGTAGACTGCTACTGTAGCAACGATGCCCCCTGCCCTTCAATCTTGGCCCCACATGAGGCAGAGGAAAACCTGGGGGTTGGGGGTGCCCCCTTCCTGTTGAGGAACTCAAGAGCTGTTCTCTGAACCACCCTAGAAAGAGGGTGGCTCTCACCTTAGGGAAGGAACATTCCTAGTCCCAATCAGATACACTTAACCAAGATAACTTGAGACGTACATAATGGTAACAGCCGTCTGTGTGCCTTCTGTTACCAGCTGGGCTCCAGCGAAAGGAATGGGCAGTTAGGGCTTAGGAAGAATTGAGCTCATTAGATTGCCTACACAGACTCGTTCAGTGGGCCTCTGAGGTTTCCCCACACCAAGCCAGAATTGGGCGTGGGAAGGAAATGAGGCAGGCAAGGCCCTGCTGTATCTAAAACCAAAGAAAATTCTCACTCGGGGTCGACAGCAACCAGCCACCCTTGCTGGACATGCAACATTGTGCTTGTCTGGGATCGTGGGGGCCAAGAGCATCGGCTAGTGAATCAAGCAGGAAGAAGTCCATGTAAGGGTGCCTTCAATATTGATGGCTCCTTTCACGTGGCTATGTGGGCATTTAACTCCCTTTTCATCTGGATAGTAGACACTTGGGAAAAGAAAAGCCCTGAGCCGGAGAAATGTCTGTCCTCTTCACTCCTGGAAAACCATTCGTGGTGGCAGGAGTGCCAGCAGAGAAGGGAATACCATGCTGTCCTTGGATGTTCCTAGTCCAGGCACGTTATGTCAGATGACAGTGGCCTGTGGGGTTCTCTGGCCTATTGTTTAGTCACTTGAGTCGTACCCAACTCTTTTGTGACCCCGTGGACTGTAGCCCGCCAGGCTCCTCAGTCTATGGGATTTCCCAGGCAAAAATACTGGAGTGGTTTGCCATTGCCTTCTCCAGGGGCTCTTCCTGATCTAGGGATCCAACCCACATCTCCTGCATCTCCTGCATTGGCAGGCAGGTTCTTTACCACTGAGCCACCACGGAAGCCCTCTCTGGTCTTTATGGAGAACTTAAAGGACAATTTAAACAGCATTGGCGGTGAGGATGCCAGTGTGAGGTGGCCTGTTAGGTCATCAGCCTGATTTTGAATCTAGCAGGGGAAGCAGTAGATCTGTCAATGAACTGAGGGCAGGATCTGAATTGTGGTGCTTTCATCTCAAACCGGTGAACAACCTGCAGACTTCTTTTCATGCCAAAAGCAATTACATTGAGATAAGCACCATTCATTCAATGCACAAAGGGGACTAAAGTTCAAAGCTAAATTTCCCCTACTAGAAATCTAAGTAATCTTGATCCTCCAAGCTGGGCTTCTGCTGCAGCCCTCTGCTCTAGCCTGGAGGGTCTCTGAGCCTACAGGATGATCCAGAAGGAAGCTAGCTGTAACCACTATGTTTGTCTCCATGTGTCTTTCATCCATCATCAGGACCCCAGGCCCACCTCAGTTACTGGGCAAGGAACCACGTATAGTCTAGAGAGTGGAGATAAATCATAAAGTATTTTAATCCACATCACCCATGACAGATTCCACAGGGAAAGCATCACCAAGGATTTAGAGAATGGTATAATCCCTTGAGGGATTCTGGGTCCATCCCTGGGTCGATTCCCACAGAGTAGGAAATGGCAACCCATTCCAGTATTCTTGCCTGGGAAATCCCATGGACCGAGGAGCCTGGCGGGTTACAGTCCATGGGGTCGCAGAGAGTCGAGCTGAATGCGCCTGAGCACACACACATAACCCCTTGAAGTAGGGAAAGACCCATCTACTCCCTGGTCACTAATGTCCACTCGAAGCACCTAATCGCTATTAACTTGTTAAAAATTCAGGAAACAATAACCTGATACTCAGAAACTATGAGAACCACTAGCAACCTACACAATGGATTAAAATTGTTGAAATGAAACACCATAGGGTACCAAGGGAATGATTTTATGGAAGTAACGGCATGGAGCAACAGAACTGGTTCCAAATCGGGAAAGGAGTACATAAGGCTCTATACTGTCATCTTGCTTATTTAACTTATATGCAAAGTACATCATGAGAAATGCTGGACTGGATGAAGCACAAGCTGGAATCAAGATTTATAGGAGAAATATCAATAACCTCAGATATGCAGATGACATCACACTTATGGCAGAAATCGAAGAAGAACTAAAGACCCTCGATGAAAGTGAAAGAGGAGAGTGAAAAAGTTGGCTTAAAGCTCAACATTCAGAAAACTAAGATCATGGCATC